TGTTTTGCAAGCAACTGTGCATAAAGATAACACCACTTTCTGGGTTTGTCCCCAGGTTTTCCTTTTTGTGTTCACTTTTGACATGGCTGCAAAGCTTTTTTCTGCTATTAGTTAGCCAGTTCCAATTTATACAGAACCAGACCAGCCATAAGCTTGATCCTTGACTGCCCAAGAAAACCACACTTGTACCACTTTCAGCCCCTACCAAAAGCAGAGTGGCTAGCTCAAGCAGGCTAGTTTAATTTTGATAAATTTTGACTTTAACAGCCAGCCTGAGAAGAACACAAAGACACAAAGTCAGCATCGCTGCATCACGGAAGCTGTCATTACGCACCCGAAAAAATAAAGTCCTTCAGCATGAAGGGCATCATTCATCATTTACAAAGGAGACAGCATAAAGGCAGAAACAGAGGATGGAAAAGTAGGAGTGATACCTCGCTATTACAGGAAAAATTTTACTGAACTTCAACCTTCTATTGGATTTAGTCTTAAAGATCTGGAAAAAACCAACAGAGCCTGCTGGAGGTACCTCGAGAACGGTGTGCTCTTCTTGTTGTTGCCCAGAACAGTCGTGCCCGCAGGTCCCAGCTTGGCACTTTCACGTAACCAATTTGCAGGAGGCAGCTTCAGGTCTGTCTTCTCCTGCAGCCAGGCAAAGGCTGCCTGCGGTGGGGCCGAGGAATACTTCACCACAGCGCTGCTCTTCACCTCATTGCCTCCAAGGAACAGCACCGAGCCCTGCTTTCCAAAGGGGAATCAGTTGGCGTTTCTGTGGCTCTGAAGGCACAGGACGACCCGTCCTGCTAAGCGCTTTCAGGGCGAGTGACACAAGCAACAAAACACGCCGCTAAACTACGCGGAAAGCTTTGAACTGACACACTTAAAAGGAGAAACAGATCCACGGCATATCATTTAGGTAATTAAAACGCACTTAAACGTAAGGACGAGAATACTGCCTACAATTACAGCTCAATCACAACGAGCGCCTTCCTGCCTCCCTCACACCTGAAAGCGGCGCTCGCACCTGTGCGGGAACCCACAGAACCCCCGGGCCGCGCCCCAGCCGTCACCTGCTTGGGCTCCTCCGCGTCTCCCCTCAGAGAGGCGGCGGCCCCGAGGCCGCACAGCTCCGCCATCTTCCGCCCGCTCCCTGCGGCGGTAACGGCAGCGGCGGGGTCAGGGGGCCGCCAGCGCCCCGCGGCGCCTCACGTGACGCTCTCACGTGACGCTACGTGACGTCACGACGGCGCCGGCGCTTCTCGCGCGCTTTCCCGTGAAGTCCCAGGGGCGCGGAAGGCGGGGAGGAAAGGAGTCGGCCAATGGGAAAGCGTGGGGCGGGGCCTGAGGGCAGGGCGGGGCCGCGGCGCTGATGGGCGGGAAAGAGGCGGGGCGGGCGGTTCCTCAGGGCGGGCTGAGGGCGCGAAGTGCTGAGTGTCCGTTTGTACGCTCGCGGCGTGGTTGTGCGAGTCTTGTTTCTCTTACAAACCAAACGAAACCTCTCTAGCTTTGCATATGTTTACTAGTGCAAAGCACACCTCTCAGAAACAATAATGCGGTAAATTTGTGTGGAAATACCTGCATACAACCAACTGAAGAGAGAACACCTTAATTATTACATTCCTTTAGAGCCTTTCTGTGGTTTTAGGGTGGGAACTTTCTATGTTTCCTCCTTAAACTTTTTGTTTTCGACTTTATCAATTTCTCGCTTGAAAACAGCAGCGAAAGGTACTTTACTGTTCAGGTAAAAGAAAACAGCTGCCTGCAGGTGCTTCAAACCATAGCGCTGTTTGTCTGAGCTGGCAATGAGGAGCCTGGAGTTACTGAATCTGCAATGACGTGGATTGAGAACAAACTGTAATTTTGTTCTCTTGGTCCCATTCTGCATTATCCTTCTCATTTTTGTCACTGACTTCCTCAGTCTGAAAAGCAGTGTGATTTATCTCTGCAGTTCCCCCAGCTGATGCCGGCGCACGCAGACGTCAGTGCAGCTCATTATGCTCAAGGCTGAGAGGACAACGCGATCACCTGAGCCTTTCGGAAGACATTGATCCCACAGCGTGCTTGCAGCTTTGGTTATTTGTTTTCTCCACCAAAATTGCATTATGGAACAGCTTATTTTTCATAAGCCAACTTTACATTCACCTCTGTAAATCATTGTAGAAGTCGATTGCTTTTGTGCTTAAAAGTAACTAACAGCGTGGCATTGTTAATAACAACATCCAAAGTATCACTCTTATCTCACTCTTATCTAAGTTATTATCAAAACTTCAGTGGAAACCTAGAGAGACAAAGTAGGTCATTTAGAAGAAAGCCTTGAGAAGTGGCAGCAAGGCAGCTAGTATCCCCAAATATCATTATGTGTGTCTGATAGTAAGATGGAGAACTCGATTTCCTGCAGCAACTTTGTAATTTCCTTTAGAATAAATGGCTGTGACTGTCTGAATCATTCATACTTAACCAATGCAAGTACCACAATTTCTCTCATTTCATTTGCCAGCTATAGCATCTGATTCCCACCCACTTTATCCTTGAATGTCAATATGCTGGAAAGCAGGCCGGTGCCGGAGCCATTTCAGTGTCATCTTCTTGACAGTCTCTCAAGGTCCAGGAGGCAAAGTCCTGTTTTGTGCTTCATTTTGTGACTTTGGCCTTGGCTACACCCCTTCCTTGAGACAAGCAAGGCCCTACTCTCTCTGCCTCAGTTTTTCTTTCTGCGAAGGAAGCCTTACATTTTGGCTTGTTCTCCATTTCTTCAGAAATATATTACAGAACCTTCTGTGTACAAAAACATCTGCTACATTCAGCTTCGAGACTGTATTGGGAACAGGAAAGAACACACTGAGACTTCTCAGGACAGCCACTGTGCAGATCATCGCCATGTTGCAAAGCCACTGCCACACGGCAGGGCACCTACATCTCAATCCCTTCACAGACCCGTCCCTGCTGTTGTCCCTGACTTGTGCCCAACGGTCCCACTTCCTTCACAGACTCATCCCTACTCATCTCCTTTACCCATGCCCAGCAGTGCAGAGCAATTACGTAGTATAGATGTTTGCAGGCCAGCCCTCAGACTTGAAGGCAAAAAAATCCCTCTAGTGATATCAGCTTTTTTATAAGGAAATACAGGTTGGGTGTTTAAGACATGCATTTGTGTAAAGCAGTATTGAAAGGAGCGTGATATTGCATCTTAGAAATAATGCACACTTGGTGCCGTGTGTGATTTTTCCCCCATGACTGTCCTTTCTTCTGACACACCATTCACACTGTGTTACTGAAGTGATTGAAGAATTAATGAATCATTTTAAATCAAACTGTTTCTTTCCCATTTGAGGACAGACTCAAGAGTGCTCCTTGTTTTTGCAAGCATAGCGGTCCAGTGAGAGCAGCGTTCTCTTTGCTCATCTGTTGATCTTAATGAAACACCAGAACCACTTCACAACAGTCTCACCGAAGGCAAAGGCAGAAGACTCAAAAGACAACATTAATGATTTTCCACAAAATCTGCTTGGATGCAGTTGCTGAAAAAGTAAATGTTGCAATAGAGAAACGTCAGTCACAGCAAAAATACTTGTAAAAAGCAAAATAATTACCGTTGTCAATCGACTTCTGAACTGAAGATACAGATACATCCCGCAAGCTTTACCCGGTGCAGAGTGTTTGCTACAAGGAGATGCAATCTCCAGTCACTTGCCAGTGGGCATCTCCCCACTGCTCTGGGCAGAGCAGGGCAGGGTGGCATGGAACAGTGCTCAGAAGGCATTCTGTGTGAGGCTTCCTCCCCACACTGTCTCCAAGGAGCTGTGGGGCCTCCTGACCCTGTGTGAGGGGGACAAACACCCTCCATGGCAACCAGTGTTCTGAGTGGGAAAGGCTCAGAGCTGCCAGGGCTGGCAGCCGGCGCAGAGCCATGCCAAAGAGCAGGTGCCCAAACCTCAACACAGAGAGCGCCGGCGCCTGGGTAAGGGAAGGGAAGGGCAGCAGGAGGGGCTGCTGTGGGGCTGCTGATCCCACAGGGATTCTTTATCCTTCATCTGTGGGAAAAGTGGTGTGATGAGGGTGAAGTTGTCCTTTAGTCAGAGAGCTCGGGCTGCCCTCAGCCACACCAGCACCTGCAGGGGAAGCAAGGGTTTTCTTTCCTATGAGAGTGGTGAGGTGCTGGAACAGCTGCCCAGAAAGGCTGTGGGTGCCCTGGAGGTGTTCAAGGCCAGGTTGGATGGGACCCTGGGCAGCCTGGGCTGGTATTAAGTGGGAGGTTGGTGGCCCTGCGTGTAGTGAGGGGGTTGGAGATTCATGATCCTCGAGGTCCCTTCCAACCCTGGCCATTCTGTGATTCTGTGTTTCTTTGTGTTCCTGATGTTTGTAAAGGAAAAATGCCCTGGCTATTTAGAGTTACAGTTTTCCAGCAATGCTAGTGGTCTCTTCCTTAATATTTAGCCCTGATTGATTATCTTTGGGACTGCCAGCTGACGTTTCCTCCAGCTGCTGCCCTGCCAGCTCCATCAGCATCCCATATCCTGACTGGCAGTACTGGAGGGGTTCCTTCACCCAGGCCTAAAACTTGGCTGAGTCCCCAAAAACCTTTATGCTTTTAAATCTACTGTTATACAGTCAGCATGGGAAAAAAGAAAAAAAAAAAAATAAAAGGGCTCTACAGCATAAATGTTTTTACTAGACTGTGTATCATTATACAAACAATTCCCAGCAAGTTCTTGGAGAAATGGTGGTGTTTGTTGTATGTGGAAGGGTTGTGCTGTGCCTGGGACGCTCCCCGCGCTTCTGCCAAGGGCCGCTAGGGGCTGCTCCAATACAAATAATACAAAAAAACAACTGGGAAAATAGGATGTTACCCACATTTCTGGTGGGATTGCTTTATACCAACGATCGCCATTTCCATTCCTTTGCAGTTTGCACATGTTGGACAATGCCAGGGCCAGCTGGAGTCCACCACGCACTCCGCGCAGAGGCAGGGCCAGGACCTGCAGGCGGCACGGAGCGCGGAGGATCGGCTGCCAGCCGCGTTCCGGGCAAGGGAACAGGTGGGTGGCTGTGCACATGCAGCCTGTGACAGGCAGGCTGTTTGCAGGGCACCATTTGCTGAGTTATAAAGAAGAGACTTGTATCTGTGGTAGTTACAGCAGGCTGGCAGACTGTGCCTCAGGGAGTGAGATGATGGCCAGCTGTGCTGAGGAAGGAATGTATTTTGCTGTTACACGGTTATAATTTGGGATAGTCAAAGTCCTGCTGCTCTCCAGCATCAGCTACTTTTCCCTTGTAGTTATGAGACACGCCTGCATGCCAGAATGTACTGTGGCTGACTTCAGTCTGAAATCTGTGTGTAAGGTAGCCCTGTAAAAGCACTTCAGTCACATTTATCTGTTTTGGTTTTTTTTCAGAAACTCAGCATTTTTAATTTTTCATTAAATTAAATCTTCCTCTTCTGTTTGGAGGTGAATATCACAGTAAGAAAAACAAAAACAACATTCCTCAACATTAAACACGAAAATCACGACAGCATTTGCAGAAAAAAAAAAATCAGATTCCCAACATGACAGGAAAATAATGTTTCAGGAAGTACAGGGGCCATCTGATGGTCCAGAAGGATGCTTGGTGTATCACTTTTTAGCTCTTTTAAAATTATTGCAATTATATATAATCAACTTAAAGAAATATGTTAAATTTTGCATTTGCCTTTTTTTTTTTTAATAAAACTTGTTCCACTTTACAGTCTGGATAAACGCTGTTAAAAAATGAGATTATAAATTAGTTATGTGATCAATACCTCTTCCACCTCCCCTGCAACAAGCAGTGCACTTGCCATTCAGTACATAAATCACAGATTAGTTCAGTTTTGAGGTCCCTTTTGTAGTTCATTTTAATTAGCTTTGGGCTTGCTAGTGAGTAAAACAAGGCAATCCTGACATATTTCTTGCATTTTGCTATTTGTAGGCAGTATGGAGCATTTCTCATTTGAAAATTCACACTTTTATATTAATCATGTGTATGTTCAACAAGTCCAGGGAGCACAAATCTTCTCCATGATTTCATGAGAAATAAAAACCATTGGAACCTGCAGGGGGTCGGGTCCATTTTGTCCCAGTAAAATTATGTGCAAATTAAGATCTAATATATGAGAATGCCTTCTGTGTTAGAGTGTAGGCAGCTGCAAGTTTGGCATCTGCCAGAATATAAGAACTAAGACTAGTAGAATTCCAAGCAAGTTGTGAAAATTCATGTTTTTTCCTGTGGTTTCTTTTTTTTCAGAGTGCAGTGAACAACAACTTCCCATTTTCCTCTCATGACAACAGACACTGTCTACAGAATGTAGGAGAGTACTTTGATTTGGTAAGTACCCAGCACTAACAAGGATCAGAAAGTTCAGTATGCTGATCAAGCATCGTTTCAATAAATCTCCTGCAAGCTGCAGAGTGCAGAAGTCAGGCTCCATCTCTCTGTGTTTGGACACAAGGGATAGTTTTGAAGATTCAGATTTTGTAGTCTCGATTTCCTTATTGCAGTCTAAACATCAAATTGTTAACCTAATTGTTTGGGTTTCTCTGAAGATTAGTTTAGGCAAATACAGCCAAATAGCTTGGAGTAGATAGTATGCTAGAGAAGTGCAAAAAGGAAGTGGTTTGTTAGTAGTGTTGGATGGTAAGTCAGCACATTTCCCATTATATATGCAACCAAAATGTTCGTACAGGCAAGTCTGGCAATATTATTTTTAACTTGCTAAAGATCAACCATGAATTCTTGAAATCACTGTGGTAACAGCTTCGTTAGCTTCCAGTGGGGTAGTGACTGTTACAAGCTTCATCTGTGAAACTGTGATTGAAAGTCATATGTTTATATGGCTTTTTCTTTCCATCTTTTTCTAGGGTTTGGGCCGAAGGAAGGTGGAACCACACAGAAGGCAGCAGAACTCACAGAACTTCTTCCAGTGGGCTTCAGAACCGGTTAGAAGGAGCGAAGATGGCTTAACCACTTATCAGATATCGTTTGTGAAAGACAAGAGACAGATCTCTAGGCAGTACCCAAAGCACTTCTTAGAAAAATCCTGCACTGACAAAGCCTGATCCTCAGAATGAAAACAACATGCAGCCAAATAAATCATCTTAATTACAATACCATCTTTGTAGCACTGATTTATCATCATCAGAGCCTTTTCTGGAGATCTCAACTACTTGTCACTCAAAGGATGAAATAAACACGTGTAAAGTGAATAAAGTGGTAATACAGTTGAGAGTTCATTAAATCAGCATTCCTGTGCTACTCGGAAGACTTGCTTTGCTCAAAAAATGCAGTGAAGAAGAGCACTATGAAGAACAGCATGATGGTACATACTTTCAGAAATACCTGTATTACGAATACAGAGGTAGGGACTGTAGTTGTGTTATTTGATACTGGTTGATGGTGATCTTCATACAAAAGCCCCTTCAACTTCAGGATCAATGGTATCACAGGATCAATGGTATCACTGTACCTCATGCAGCTGACAGCATCTGTGTTGACAGAACTGTACAATGGAACTGAATCTTTGAGGGTCCACTGCAGCAGAGAACCAAAACTGCACGTTCAGGTATGAGATAAACTTTTCTGAAAGGTTGTATGGATATGAATGTGTGTTACTTGCAGTTAGGGAAACTAGATGACAGAACCTGAGTGTGAGATTGCAGTGCAAGATGGTAATTCTGGAAAATGTAAGCGTATGCATGTAGGTATGTGTCGCTCATGGCAGTAAGGCAAAAAGGAAAAAGGCTCAGGGTGGAAGTGGAAGTCTCTGCAATGTGGAGGCTGAGGTGGGCTAGCTCTGGGAAGGACCGGTGCTTTTGTACTTATGTGTCCCTCAGGAGGTGCAGTCAGAACCAATCCTTCAAAGGCTGCTCCCGAGATACTGGCTGACTGCAGGGCATGAGAGGGATTGGAGTCAGACCTCCAAATAACGTGTTTTCCTTTTCTGGATCATTTCCATTAATGCCAATAAAAGAATAAACAGAACTGTGTATCTTAAAACGTGCTATAAATAAGCCTGTTGCTATGCAGAATGTTTTCTTTGTTTATGAGATAAATGGAAAAATAAACCTAAACGCTTAGAATTTCCTGCACTGTGAGAGATGCCATGAAGATGAGCTACGTTAAGAAATGCTTTGTGCTCTTCAGTAGACACATCTTTTTGAATTGGCTGCAAGGGGTGACGGTTCTGTGTTCCATCAAAATAGATTGCATTAGAATATTTCCCCAAATGTAGCAATTTTTGATGCTCGTGAAAAAACAACAAACTTTTTTAAAATGCAGTTCCCTTTACTAAAGTTCTTGGAGTGCAGCAAAACATGCAGAGGTGCAAAACCTCATCGAACAATGTAAAAACAGATAAAAAGCCAAGTAACATAGTGCTATTAAAAGGAATTATTTTCTCTCAAAGTAAAAGCAGCCTGCCTGACAACACTGCAGTCAGAATTTCCAGAGCTTTAGCCAACAATTTCATCTCCAAAGTGATTCAAAAGTAAAGCGTGTGCCAATCACGTGGTGAATGAAGTACCCCATGCTGTCTGGCATACTCAAGAGGGCAATCTTGGACCTCCATCAGGAAGAAGAAACACATTCTTTGCTACATTGGTAATGTTTATCCATGGTTTAACATTACAACTGGATATGGTGAAATAAATTGCTGTAGTTTGTTATGTCTTAAAACACCGGTAGGAAGATTCCAGATTACTTTTATTTTTCCACATCTTTTCCTCGTGTTTTGAGTCAAACACGGATTGGTTTTAGAATTAAGTGCAGACTCGATTAGGTACATGTTCTCAGTGGTACTGTGATAAAGATTTTGGAGGAGAAACTGTTGGGCTTATGAAAGCTCTATACCAATTGAAGAGCAGTGTGCTGAATTGAACATTGGTGCTTCCCACGTGCCAAACGTTCTGGCTGCATTTCTCCAGTAAATAACATGAAACACAACACATCGCATTCTGAGCCGAACGATAAAAGCCTCAGATAAATTCTCAGAAAGTCATAGCCTTGCATAGTTTGGGTAAAATCATTAATTTTATTTCACCTTGTCATAATAACGTCTCTGAGAAGAAATCCCTGCTGAGTTAAAATATGTTTTCAACATGATTTCTTTGCTTCTTGGGGGATGGGGGAGAGCGTAGGAGGGCTGCTAACTTCCATAAAGGTTTCCCAGTCAGCACAGGAAAGCCCTGGCTGGTAGCTAATTAGGATCAGATGGGTGGAGGTAGGCTCAGCACAATGAGCACACTATAGGTTAACTCAGCCAGATATATTCTGGAGAAGCAGAAGGTAACCTTGAAGTGATGCTGACAAATACAGGCTTTTTTGTCCCTCTTTTGGAGGAAAACAAAAAAAGTCAGTTTCTTGCAAATTTTTCAACAAGCTGTTTACAAGCCAGAACCCCTGTACAGAACCAGCAGGCTTCTACTACAGTCCTTTCCAATAAGCAGCTAACCCTTCGTTGTTGTTGTTTCTCCTCGGCCAGCATCAGATTAGGGGCTGTCTACACAACTTTCTTCAAGCATCTCTCTCACATTAGTTTAAAGGTTATTTCGGTACGTTAGCTAATACACACAATTCAAGTGACATATATCAAAGAAGTTTAAACCAAGGGGACAGGCAGATGGCTCCAAGTTCCTGTGGTTGAATGAATTGATACTTACCTGAGCCTGGCAATGCTCAAGCATTGAGTAACTAATAGGTCTGAGTTGAAGGGCAGCAATTTTGTGCCCTACCTCTTTCCATGTCCAGGTACAAGGGAGTCTGTTTCTCACATAGCATCAGTTCTACTGAATTGAAATATGGTCTTATGTTTGTATCTAGATGGTTATGTCCACATGATTAAGTGTTTCTTTTTTCTTTTTTTTCCCTGCCCTGTTTGCTGACTACTAGATCTGAGAAATGCTGCTTTCGCTTGGACCCTACGGCCTTCTGGTAAGCTTGATGCCAGCCTTCTTTCTATCATTATTTCACTTAGAAAATGAATGCTGTAGCCTGTGAAATACAGTCATTTTGATTCCAATATGTGAGCTGTTGATGTGTTGTGGCAGCACGAGTTTGTTTTTGGTTCAGTATGAGGCAACATATAAATGTGGTATATTTGTTTACTTGCTGCCTAAAGAAGCTCAAGGAAAGCAGATGCTCGATTCCTGAAACCCTCACCCTGTGTGGCAGGTTAGATTGAAGGTGGAGTGGTGCTGCTTGTGGAGTTGGTAATTCAGTGGGGATGCAGCAGCTTGGCTTCTAAGTCATCAGCTGCTAATCCAATCACTCTGTGTTCATAATCAAATCACTTCATGTAGCTCAAATGGGGTTTCTTAGAGCGTGCTCTCAAGGTTGGTTGGAGTGATGTAAATGTACTCAAGATGAGTGTTTTTGCTTCCCTGGGCTGTACAGTTAAGCAGTAGCAATACTGCTGGAGATCTGTAAAAAAAACATGGTGCTTTTTGTTTGCAGTGATACAGGTGAAGAAGTACAGTGTTTTTATTGTGGATGATATTGAACTTCCGTAAATGTTCTTACACTGGTTTAACTTTTCCCTGGCCAAGCAAAATATCGGTGTCTCTGTATGATGGTGTTAATGCTGAATCAAAAGTACAGATCTCTTGTCAAGTAGAACAGCACTGGCTGATGAGAATTAATATTTCTGAAGTGGGATCTTTGGATAAGTTATCTCTATATTTAATGGAGTCTTTGCCAATTCATGTTTTGTTCTTCAACTTCCCTCTGTCACTGCTGTGTTATGAGCCATAGGTGACAAATCTGAGACCGCTCTGAGATGGGAAAGGACTACACAGGGCTGCCTCATCCCAAACACGTCTGCTTCCCTGACAAAGTGTTGAACCAATGAGCTGTTAAAATATTCTCCCTGGAATATCGAATTCAAAAGAAGTCTATTCAAAAGGGAAGCAATCCTAACTGACCCTGTTTTGAATGTATGGCAACAACGGGTGTGAAGGAACCATTAAAGCACCCAATTTATGATTCAGTCAGGCAACTGTGCAGCTTCTATGAAAAGCGTTGTCAGGTTGCTGCCTTGTCTAATCCCAGTTTGTTGTACTTATGTATATTCTCCCGAAAGTGAAATATCTCTGATTATCCTTTCTGAAATATTTCCGCATGCAGAAGGGATCCTAGTTTGAGATTAGTTCTATTGCTCTGAAATGACCTAAGAATTGTTTCTTAGGGGAGACCTGAGGGAGATGCCCAGTGCAGCTTCCAACTCAGGCCAGACTGGTGCCAGCAGAGGATTAGCTCAGCATGCTTTGTGGATCTGAGCCCAGCAAGGGTGAAGCTTGCACAGCCTCTCAGGTTCCCTGCTACTGCACTGCAGTGCAGTCCTAATGAACAGCATTTTCCTACCCCAAAGCTTTGTGATCACAGCCTCCTAGCATATCACTGGCACTACCAGAAAGAGTTTGGCTGCGTCATTTTTGTAACTGCTCTGAAGTTGCTGCAGGTTGCCCATAGCCACCTCTTTGCTAGACCAAACAAGCCTGTTTTTTCTCAGCCTGCCCTTGCAAGTTGTGCACCTCTGACCATCTTAGTTGCCCTCTGCCGGATCCTGCTCTATTTGTCTGCAGCCCAAAACAGGGTTCTAGGTTCAGCCTTCCTTGCTCAGGGAATAATAATATTTCTCAGCCTGCTACTAGGAAGTGCTTCTCAAAGTCTCAGCCTCTCTTAAAGCCTTTGAGTTGAAATAATCTTTGGAAAGCCTGTGAAGCAGGTCTTTTGTTTTTAAATAGTGAACTTCCAACTTCTTTTCTTTCTATAGAGAATATGTAGCTATTTCTGCATGCACCAAAAGTGGAAATTATGAAGCACTTTCAGAGAATATATTTAAACTGCCGTTAATCTACTGGTGGATGCCAGACACTGAAGTCCCACAAGACTTCCACAGATGCTTAAAATGCTGCACCTGGAGAAGTCCAACATGACTGAGTCTTGACTGCACAAAGCACAAACCTTTGTAAAGGAAGA